GGTGGTGGTGTTACGCGAAGATGCTCTATGTCTGTCTGGAGACAACCCCTCCCCGCTCTCTGAAGGACAGCATGGCCGCCCTCCCAAAACTGCCTATGCATCCTTTCACAGAGGGATCAATGTATTTTTTGGAGGGTGCGGAGGAGATGGCGGTGCCTGACCGTGTTTTGTTCAGGAGGGGAGGGGTGGGCTGCACTGGCGCGGCCAGGCAAGACCCTGCGGTGGCAGAGCAAAGGTGAGCTGGGTTTCGAAAGTGCTCTGCAAGGCCTTGCATTTAAACTGCAGCTGAGGTGATGTGTGGTATTTCTGTACTCGGCGTGCCCTGCAATCAAAACTCACTCTCTATGTAGCAGAAAATGAGATACTGACAATAACAGAAACCCACAATAATAAGAGTAGCGGTCAGTCTCTCCTTGAAGTATTTATTCCTTCAGCGGCAATTCAGGAGGTGCTCTGCAGTCACGAAGAACAAAACTTCCATCTCACATATGATCGGCTCCATGTCAGAAAATGCCACAGGAGCAAGGAGGTTTTGTCTGCAGGTGGATGGTGGCTTCAGAGAGCACTGGAGGTGCTAAGACTTGTCGGCATATGCCTGCATGTGCTTAAGATGCAGACCCAAACTAGGATCTGAATTTTTTGGTTGGGGGTTTCTTGCCAGAATGGGTTAACTGAGACACAGAACCAGAACAACGTGGTCATTGGACTGCAAGGAGTAACAAAATCCAGCCTGAAGTGTGTAGCCATTTCTTCTGAGTCAGCTTCGTGCACCTTTTAAGAGAAACCCCGTAAAAATAATCCTTTGCTTGTTTGATTTGCAACTCTATAATAAAGCATAAGACTGCTTAAATTTACTTCGCAGCACAGCAACACACTCCTTTTACTTGTACATAGCCAATTAAAATTTGTTTTAATTAAAACAACTAAAAATTAAAGGCTAGGAAACTCTTACTGCTCTTTAAAGGCACATTGTTATTCATCATCAGTGCATTTTAGTTTCCACTTTAGGTAGCATATGAAGGATTAGGGTTTCAATGAAAGAGGGGGACAGAATAAATTGCATCCTCTACCAAAGAACTGCCAGACCTTTTCAGATGAGTGCATACCATGAGCCCTTCCCATGTTAGTCAGCTTTATCTAAACCTTCCAAAGCAATGTCTGCCCCTGAATTTCATGGGTTTCAGGGTCAGTCACAACAGAATTGTGGGGCTGGGAAGGTCAGAGGCCATTTTTGTCAAAGGGTAGTGACCTTATCAGCAAGAGGTAGCCTGACAAAAACAGGATTCATGCTAGTGAATGGAGTTCTCACTGCTCTTCCCCCGCTGAGCCTTTTTTCTACCTGGTAATGAAAAATCTTGAAGAATTGTAATGGACTTTTATATGCATACATACATATATGTTTGTGTGTGTATATAGATACATCTATTTAAAATATTAAAGATGTTACGCTAGTTATAACATTACATTATATTGTATGTATTACATTTATATATCTTTTGTTATATGTTTTAGCCCATGAAAAAGATCATACTTAATAAAATGTGTATTTGTTGTGAGAAGAAAGAGGAGACAGAAAGTGAGCATGTAAAGAAAGAAAAAGAAAAAAGAAAGAGAAAAGTAAGGAGAGAAAAAGAAAGGAAGAAAGGAAGAGAAAATGAGATTGAATGCTCTGGCATGTGGTATAGAAACTTCTTCAGAATGATTTATGTAGTCACGTATTTACTTTATATACACATAAATACATGAGCAGGCAAGAAACAGCAGTTTCAGTTACCACGGTCAAGGGAAGGGCTTCATTAGCAGCCTGCAGGCTCTGACTCAGGAGGTCTGGCAATTTGTAGTGGGATGATTTAAGAGATCCCTGCCTCTAAGCAGCCACTCTACCCAGAGGTTATCATCCTCTCATGAGCCGCTGCACTTCACAGCCTGGTGTATACCCCTGTGACCTGAAAGCTGGGGTGGTTTATATTAATACAGTGGGTTCTGACCTGCGGTGGTCGAGGAGGGGACCTGCTTTCACATGCAGCGCGTCTGACGCAGATGGTGATGGTGACCTCTGTAGAGCTATGTTTGGTAATCTATATATTACTCCCCATGAATGTCGAATTTAAATTTCAAAGCCCTCATCAGGAAGCAGATCAAAGGTAGTTGGAAATGCATGTTCAGACTCCTGTGGCATCAACAAGTTCCTAAATAAATTAAAAAAAAAAACAAACAACAAAACTCTGGGTGGTTTGTTTTTTTTGCAAAAGACTTTCAAAATCCAAGCCCTCTCTGACGATGTTCTGCATCTCTTTTTTAATCAGCAGCTTTCTGGTGCTGCTATTGATTTAAATATCTTCAATAACAAACCACAAAGTAGGACTTTAGTCTCAAACATGTCAAAACTCCAGCTGCTGAAAAACTGGCCAGTCAAAAAACTTCCTCCCATGACTTAACTTCTTCATGGGTAGACAATTTTGCCTGAAGGTAACTCGAATAAGAATAAAATGGATGAGTGAGTTTGCCTTAGCCTGATCTCTCTCCTTAATAAAAATGAATGGTAAATGTATATTGGGTAATAACACCAGCTGACAGGGGTAAAATTTCAGAAGGTCTGTGAAACTAACCCAGGAAACAAGATTTTCATCAGATAAATCAAGGTGGAGATAGGCTCCTGCCGTGTTTCTGAAAAATCACATGATGTATGTTTTTATCCAACCAAGGACTCAAGAACATGTATAACTCACAGCAAATGAGTAGTCCTACACCTGTGCTTTCAGCTACAAACTGCTCAAGGCTGTGACTAAAGTGATGGCTTTATATTGTGTAGTTGAATCCCTGCTGCTGTTGCTCCTCCAAGCCATTTTATTCACTGAGGCAGGTAAGATGTGCTATCTTCTATGCAGTACCTTGTAAAAGACATGTTGCCACTGGAATACTGGAAATGGAAAAGTCATTTTTTTCCTCAGGCGAGTAAATTAAAGTGGCCAAATTCTCAGACCTTGTACATTTCGGTAGTGGGCAAACTGGTGAGAGTTTGGGGTCTAAAGTAACTACAGGAATGATCTGGAAATCTGCAAGGACTGAGGGAGGAGGGGTGTTCCAGGACAGGTCTGGCAAGTGTTCAGGCTCTTCAATATTCAGCCAAGGTCTGAATACATTTAGGGTTTCTTGAAGGCATGCAGCTTGTAGAAATGTCTGTAGTTAAGTAAATTTAAATGGCATGTATTTCATTTCAAGAACTTTATTTGAGTGTGAAAATCCCTCATATACCTTGTGCAGCTGTACAAATAACACTTATGTCTGTTTTAGGCATAAACATGGTTATCATCACACTGGGTGCGATCAAAGATTTTATTTACAAAACAATTACTAAAATGCCTGATGTCATATTTCCATTTATTTATTTCTTACCCATAGGGTAATAGGTCCACCATAATCGCTTGGTGCATTTTATAATACAGAAGGAAAAGCTATGTTAATAAAATCTAACAAAAACTCACAAATAGCTACAAATCTAACAGAAAATGTCTAAGAAAAATTCTCCCCAAAATACAATACATTTTTCCACACATACACAGTACAGAATATGTTCAAAGGCACAGCTTTGAATTTTGCTTTTGTAGACGTATATAGAATTATCACAACTTGAAGAAATTGAGAGAACAGTTTCATACCTGTCAATAGGTAATGAAATTAATAATCATGTTTGCATTGTCTTTTTTTTACATAATTGCTTCATATCATCGTATTTAACATATGTGGCTCTGAATCCAAAATAATCCCAGTCCCCAAGTCCCTTCTTAACCTTGTCATTACTGACCAGAGAAGTTAGATTTTTCCAGATTGTGCAAACTTAATACAAATACATATATAATAAGAACAATAGACAACTTAAGGCAGTGTATAATTCAATGCTACATGTCTTCTCTTCTGTAAAGATCAAACTTACTGGATCAATAGGAAGGTGCATCAATATACAAAGTTAGGTGTAAACTGAAACCTACAACAAATGTCTTTTAAGGAGCCAGATAGAGGAGCTGATACGAACAAGGGATGATTCGACAGAATGGTTTTTAAGGAATGCACTAAGAGCTTAGAAGAAGAACAGATGCCGGAGTTTTGCTGAGAGTGAATTTCCTGTCTTTAACGAAAATTATAAATAGATCCCATTCCAGTACATTTGCGTAAGACTTATTAATGTTTGTCATTAAGAGAGGGGGGCAAAAATGGCTCACTCAAACTGTCGTCATACAGGGTTCGCCCACATGCCAGAGTTAGAAAAGGCACAGATTGGCCCAAAAAGTGGTCTAGAATAGCACAAAAATGTTTTTCAGCTACAGGAACATTCAGTCATCCTGGTCTGCAACCTGCCCATGTTATGAACTACATTTATCTGCCCAGGATCTTTTCCATCTTCACCTCCCTTCAAGAACATCCATGAAAAGTCCCACATAACATGAAGTTTTTAGAACTCTTTTAAGTATATGGGCTCAGCTGATACCAGTCATTTTCATTTAGCCCAACCTGTGGTGGCTTCCCCATTGATGTAGGCAAAGCCGGGAAAGTGTTGCATGTGCTCATATTCTGAATTTCTGCGCGTAGTCAAGGGGGTATACATGTCACTAGAATTCCCATATCTTGTGGAGTGCATGGATGGGCTTGTGTAGCAGGAGTTTGCGGCTGGGACCTCTGGCCAGCGAGGAGTCACCGGTGTGGGATGCAGCCTTGGAGTACTGCTCATCAAACAGGGCTCCATTCTTGATGTTGGGCTGTTGAAAGGGTACTGCAACAAAAGCAAAGAAAAACAACTTAAAGAATTGTCTATCACACACTTAATTGTAAAATAAGGACTGGTGGAATCACAATTCCATGTTTAATGAAACCAAAATCTCACAGATTAGTAGCCCTCCAACAACTAGATAACATATTGAAGGGGGAATATCAGATAACTAATGCCTGCAGACAACCCAAAGTGTAATGGAAAGTCTTGCAAAGCAGTCACTGCATTTCAATTCTGAATTAATTCATCAAAGAGCTAGGTACTGGCAGGTATATCTGGGAGCAGAAAAATTAACAGAATTCATCTCATCTTTTTGTCACAGCTTTTACTTGGAAACTTGCCATGCAGTAAAAAACAGAGTATAAAATGTCCCTACTCCTGCTCACTCAACTGACTTTTGAGGGAGGAGAGCAAAAGGATCTTTATTACTAGAAAGGTGACTTTCCTTTTAAATGTTCACAAGCCATCCTGCCAGTTTCTGCAGAAAAATAATATGGTCTGGCCTCAGAGCAGGCAGCTAATTGGAGAACTCATAAAAAGAGACAGACAGAAGAAGAATCTCCGTATTCCCCAGCTGTTTGCAGTGATAGTTGGAAACTAGAAATCAAAGTTGATCAACAAATGCCTCCCACTAAGGAGAAGTTATGCCAAGGATAAGATAGGCAGGAAAACAGAGAACAGCTTTTGGCCTCTGTAGCCATAGACTGCCCAGCAACTGAAAATAAACTGTGCTTACGAGTGCTTGCTTAACATGTGTTTATCTTACTGCCTGTTTTACAGAAGCAGATCATGTGCGCTGTGCCTAAGAAATGGCTCTCCCTGTTTTGCCCTCCTATTATCCATCTGCATCACAGAGATGGTGGGGATCCCTGTTCCCAGCCATGTAACTTCAGAGCTTCTACATTTTACAACTTCTCAGCAAGATAGTTTCTATGAACTCTGCAGCACTGGGACAAATGGGTCACAGAGTATCACAGAATCACAGAATATTAGGAGTTGGAAGGGACCTCGAAATATCATCCAGTCCAACACCCCTGCCAGAGCAGGATCACCCAGACCAGGTCACACAGGAACATGTCCAGGCAGGTTTTGAATGTCTCCAGAGAAGGAGACTCCACAACCTCTCTGGGCAGCCTGGTCCAGTGCTCTGTCGCCCTCACAGTGGAACAGTTTCTCCTCATGCTCAGATTGAACCTCCTATGCTCCAGCTTGCTCCCATTGCCCCTTGTCCTGTCATTGGCTGTTGCTGAGAAGAGCCTGGCTCCTTCCTCCTGACACTCGCCCTTTACAAATGTATAAACATGAATGAGGTCTCCCCTCAGTCTCCTCTTCTCCAAGCTAAAGAGACCCAGCTCCCTCAGCCGCTCCTCATAAGGGAGATGCTCCACTCCCTCGAACATCTTTGTGGCTCTGCGCTGGACTCTTTCAAGCAATTCCCTGTCCTTCTTGAACTGAGGGGCCCAGAACTGAACACAATATTCCAAATGTGGTCCATACACACAGGGCTGCACCTTTCATACAAAAAGTCTCATAATTTTAAATTTCATTATTTTGGATTGTTTGACACTGTGATATTTACTTAACTAGAAAGCTGTCACCAGAGCAGGAGTATCACTTCTGATGCTTATAAAAGCATGCCAAAACTTTATATGGCTGAGGACTGTATAAGTCCTCCCCCAGATTTTGAAGGGTCATGGAGAGAAGACCTGTGGTAGTTGTTCCTAGGAGGGAGATGGCAGTGATTCTCGAAGGGTCTCGTTATGTTACTCCACTGCCAGATGGAGCTGGGGTTACTCAGTTGCACAAGTGGGTCCTCAAAGCAATTACAGCTCTGTCTCTGTGAGGAATTTCTGCTGGAGGCCTCCTGACCGCACCCAGGAAGGCCGCCCTGCCTTGGCACACATATTTGTACAGTTCACAAGCTTCAGGCAGCTCAAAAGCCACACGCTGGCCACTCCTAACTCAAGAGTAGAAAGAGAAGGCTATTTTTGACCAAAATACTGCAGCTAGTGATTTAGCATATTTCCCACCATGCTCTGGGGAGACAGGCAGCTAGCGGATGAGACAGAAGAGATTAAAGCTGTACAATACAAAGCTCAATGCCAAAGAGACTGTGGATTTACCTGTACAATCAGCTGCTGAAACAGGCTGGTAAATGGCAGCACCATACTGGAGCCTCAACACTTCAACTGGTGTCGCAAATGTTTGCATTCAAAATAAGCTGTATTGGCAACACTGGCAACAACTTCATACAAGATCATCTAAATTTTTATTTTCACCCCAGCAAAAGGTTTTTCAGTAGGAAAATGCAGCAGAGCTTAGACACTGACTGCAGAAAGCCTTGTTTTCCTTTGCAGAAGAATCAAGTTTGCAGATTTGCTGGCTTTCCAGAAGCTTTTGCTGAAGAGCTACCAGTGCCTAGCAGCAATGAAACTCAAGCTTTGAAGTTTTATATGAGGTGATTTGAATCTAGGATCATGGTTCTCTCCTTTAACTCATTAATTGGCAGGGCACTCTGTCAAAACACAACTTGCAAATACTCTAAGTAAACCAAAAAGGTTCCAGAAAAAGTCGAACAAATTTCATATATTTAAAGCTGTAGAGCTGCAGCTAGTAGATTTGAGATGCAGCTTTCCTGGTCTGCACCAGCAATACACTGAAGTAATTTTCATGCTAGTGCCTGCTGCCTGCCTTCACTTGAACATCTTGGTGAACAAAGCTCCTGCTGTAATCAATACAAAGGAGACAGGTTGTCATGTGATTCACTGCAGCTTCAGAGTTGAATCCATCTCACCTCACTTTAGTTGTCAAAAATTCAGGCATCTAATAAAAGTGAATCATTTGTGCTCTGTGTACAACTATCAGAAGAATTTATTAAACCTCAAGATAAATATTTAAGACAGAATGAGCAGTTCTCAGAAGATGGCTCTTTCTCCTGCTACATAATGTAAACCAATAGTTAGGTTGGCTCAAGTTAAATAATAGTCCCTTTTCCATAGCTGTCAAATGCACAAGTTGTTTTCCTGGCTGATCGCAAATGTCCCACTAATGGCTCTCTACAAAATCCTTTGAGATGGTAGGAGTCCAAGACCAGGATGGATCATTGGGAAAAAACTATGTCACACAAATAATAAATTTTTAACTTTTCTGTACGTCACCTGTGGAGCTGCAAGATGTGGGCCAAGCTAAAAAAATTCTGCTTTGTCTTCAGTAGTGTTTTACTTGATACCAACTATCATGGTCTTTGGCTTTATTACTCATTGATCTATACTTGAAGTCATTGTATTGAAGAATGTACTCACAGCAAGATTAGTCTAGACTTTTGCCATAATACACCAATTATTATCTCGTCTTCTTCCCGACGTCATATTTGATCTGCTCTGTTATTAACCATAACAGAATCCTTTGCCATCCTGACTCAGTGCAATTTTCCTTTGAGGTTGTGAAACTGAGATTGTGATTTCTAACAAGGGAATTACTTGCTTTCATAACCCTTACAAATGCCAAGAGAAAGCCCCAGCTTCAACCAGGATGATTTGTTGCTTGATAATTTGTAGATCGCAAAACTTTCATCTATGAGCAAGAAGAACAAAATGAGCTCTGGGAATATTCTGGTGGGTCTCCTGGTTGTACATAGCATTATGTGGAGATGTCACATAATGTTTTTTAGGTAGTCTCGACCTAAACCTATGCTGCTGGGGGCATGAAACCTTGGGTCCCAGAATGAACTTCAGGATACATGGAAAAGGAAAGATAATCTTCCTCCTCACTGCAGTCAAGAGGCCATGCTAAGGCTTACTAAGGAGGCAGGGCCGATGTGCATGAGGAGACAGGATACAGTGTGCTGCTTTTCCTTTTCATCAAGTGTACTCGATGCAGCTGTGTTTATGAATGTGTCATGAATGTAAAAAGAATAATTGCTTGAAAATAACATGGACCCTAAAAATCTAGTATTTTACAATAAATTCTGTTATGACTGAATGCAAGATGGAAAGTTTTGTAATGGTAGGTCAGCTAATCGCAAATGAGTCAGTGACTTCTTTTT